GGCGAAATGGAACGAACTGGGCGAAATGCCCAAAACGTTTATATGCCAGAGCACAACCCAAGTAGTGGAGACTCAAACGAGCAACAGGTGTATAGACATACTGCCCACCTTGTTCAGTGCCCGATCGCCATTGACGAAAGAAGGTTCTCGAGGTTCCCGTAACTGAGCCACCCAGGGCAGCACGTTACGTGTATTGTTTTTGTTTTTTCGTTGCCTTGCTGTCGTCTGATGTGTCCTTCCATTTGTCCGAAATGGCTTTTTCTCTCCGTCACCCAACCCAACTGTTCCATACCGTGCTGCCCCACCCCTACCAGCTCAGAAGTGGCCCCCACCAACCGCCGTATGCAACGAAAGGGCGAAAGGCCATGCCACAGCATTGTTCAAGCACGCTTCCTCCCCTCGCCTAGAATTGTAGACCAGATTCATCGAGCGCTTATTGCACCCCCGCAATGCCGAGTTGACGCTCGTCTCCAACCGTAGTGCGTTTCATCGTTTGACATGTAAGGATACCCAGGATTGATTTCATCAATCCACGTGTTTAAAGTCTAAAACATAATCACGAAATTGTTTAAATTCAAGTCTGGATAACTGTCCAGTCTGCCATGAAATGCACTGATACGTATTCGATATGAGTTTGGGGTAGTTGTTTTGGGGAAGTGTACTCACATTACATAAGTGAATCACCCAAAAAATATTTACATGACCAGCATCCCTCCTGCATTCCGCCCTTCCCTTTCTTGATCCCCTTTTTCCCAGAATTCCAGCCCACATCAAGACGGATAGATTTGTTTCCCTTTTCCCAGAATTGTGTAAGCCTGACTGCTAGGGTGGCTCTGCCAGACTTCCAGCGATGTTCGTTCTCGTCATCAGTAACTGATGAGCGAGAGAGAGTGTGGGCGTACGCGCATGGAGGCACGTCACCTTCCCAGAACGAGTCATTCTGACCGCGAGATTGCGCTCTGCGACAGCGGCCGAAGCAGTCACTTGCATTCTCGGCAAGCATTCCGCTATCACCTCACTTTTCACCCCAGCACCAGAAATACGTCAGGAGCAGGAAGACGCCAGTCGGCAAAAAGACACTCCAATTGCAATCAATTCTACCTCCCACCAGTGATTCTCAGTGCGCTGACTGGAAACGCTCACAGAGCCCGGCCCGCCACGTCTCCGCGACAGGTCACTGTGTCTCTCCCGGGGGGCAGCGCGGACAGGCAACCCTCTCAACACGACTCGAACATCGTTTATACACACGACGAGATCATCCCGCCATGGATGGTCATCTTCCAGTGGGACAAATCGACATGAGCGAAGTAGCTGATCTGCTCTTAGGAGACGAGCCGCACGATCCGTCCGAAGGCGATTTAGAGGTGCAGGAGCTAGAGCAGCGCATGTGGAAGGACCGTCTCAAGCTGCGTCACATCAAGGACGCGTCGACGGCGGCGGCATCGGCGGGCGCGGTGGGCGCCGCGTCGTCGGGCGAGAATGGCGAGTTCGGGAGCCTGAAGTGCCGGCCGGATTGGGCGGTGGAGGATGAGGAGGAGGAGGAGGATCAGCAGCCGCAGAAGCACAGGCCGACTCAGTCGCAGGTGCGGAACGTGCGGCTTCGCTTAGTATGATCGTGCCTGTTGAGTGTCTGAGAGAGCTTGGAAGCATTTGGATTGGCTGAGCGCGCGTACATCTAGAGCATAGTATCCGCGATTCTCACGATTGCCACTAACTGAGCTGAGCTGGCAGACCGTTGACACAGTATTTCAACAATGATTCGTTCTTATTTGCAGTCTCACTCGGTTCCCACCCCTCACGGCTCTCTATTGCTACCTTCCCCTTTGCCTCTCTGTGATTACCAGCAAGATGCGGCGCGGAGGAAGAAAATGTCGCGCGCGCACGACGGCATTCTCAAGTACATGCTGAAGCTGATGGACGCGTGCAACGCGCAGGGCTTCGTGTACGGAATTATCCCGGAAAAAGGCAAGCCCGTCGGCGGCTCCTCCGACAATCTCCGCAGCTGGTGGAAGGATGAGGTGCAATTCGATCGCAGCGGCCCGGCTGCGGTTGCGAAGTATAACGAAGAGCAAGCAGCGGCGCAAGCGGGGCGAATGATGGTGATGCAAATGGAAGCGGCTGCGGCTGCGGGGGGAGGGGTTGACGGAAGCGGTGTGCTGCGGGCGGGTGGTGGGTTGGGCCTGGAGGCGTGCCATTGGTTGGGCCTGGTTCGATTTCTACACCGCGTACACTTCAAGATCTGCAAGATACAACTTTGGGCTCGCTTTTGTCCGCGTTAATGCAACACTGCGATCCGCCACAAAGACGGTTCCCGTTGGAAAAAGGTATACCCCCGCCGTGGTGGCCTACCGGCAACGAAACCTGGTGGCCGCAGCTGGGCCTTCCCCGTGGCAGCGGTTCGCCCCCTTATAAGAAGCCTCACGATCTGAAAAAGGCGTGGAAGGTTGGTGTACTAACTTCGGTGCTTCGTCATATGGCTCCCAACATTGCCAAGCCTCGGAAGCTGGTTCGGCAAAGCAAGTGCCTGCAGGACAAGATGACGGCTCGGGAGACCAGCATATGGCACATGGTTCTCGATAACGAGGAGGCTTTATGCAAACAAGAGGCGGCCACTAACGGAACATTGGCTGTCGGAGCGACGGGAAGCGATCCCGGAAATTCCGCCGCCATTTCCGGCCGGAATGGCCCGAACTGTCTCCCACACAGCAACAGCGTGAACAGCGGCATCATGGCTCTCGCCGGCAGCAGTGGCGCGGGTCCTAACGGCACCGGCAGCAGCGCTAGCGCTTGCCGTCATCTATCCAGCGCGGCAACGGCCTCAAAATCCTCCGCGCGTTTGCGCACGAGAACTCCGCCAACGCTAACGGCGCCGGTGGGTCGCCCTGCTCCGAGCCGGCAATTCTGACGGCCAACGTCCGATGGACCGGCAGGCGCTCGACATTGGCGCCACGAACATGGCCCCCTTCTCTCTCTCCGCATACGACGGCGGCAATCGCGGCGGCGGTGACGGAACCGGCAGCTCTGGCGGCAACGGTGTTGGCGGAGGGAGTCCGCTGGACGGGCAGCTGAAGCGCACGTGCTCCGCGCTCGGCTCGTATGGCGGGAATCTTAATCACTCCGCATCGGCCGGAGGTATTGATGCGAGCGGAAACGAGGCATCTCTTAACGAGGATACGAGTCTGCCGTGGGGGAACGGGGATGGCGCAGCGGGGGATGTTGCGGGGGGCGGAAGCGGCACGGGGAGGGATTTGGTTCCCGAGCACCGGATTTTCAAGTGCCCTTATGAGGGTTGCCCGCGGCGCGAGTGGAAGAACGCATTTGCGGACCGGAATCTGAGGAACATCCACCAATTGCGGTGCCCCTTCCGACCTGGCGCTAAGGCGCAGCAGCAGCAACAACAGCAGCAACAGCAGCAGCTTCAGCCGCAGCAGGAGTGTGAAACGTCAACCTCCCCGCCCCTCCCCGTCCATGCTTTTGCCAATCCGGGCAATAATTCCGCATCTGCTGCTCCTGGTAACTCAGGTGCCCCCTCAGGTGTCCCTTCAGGTGTTCCTTCCACTATGCCCTTCGGCGCCACCAGCAACAGTCCCTCTGGTGCGCCCTCGGGAATTCCGCCCTGGGCCGTAGACCATTCCTCTCAGCCTCCCCTCACCTCCGTTCCTCACATGTCCCTAGGCTCGGGACTAGGCTCGCCACCGCATGGCTCCGGACCTGCTGCTCCAGGTTCGGTTCCCGGACCTGGGCCCATGGGTTGGATGCAGCAGTGGCCCATGCCTCACCAACAGCAGCACGGCCAATTCTCCATGCCGATGCAGCATCCTGGAACCTTCGCCCCTGCCACGTCATCATATGCTGGCTACAACATGGGCATGGGAATGGGCATGGGTGGCTATCCCATGAACGTCCCGCCTTACCCTGGTCCGGGGACAGGTTCGGCAGCTGGCTCGGGAATGGGAGGTGCGGGTTTCAGCCAGCCCTTCAGTCATACCTCTCCTGCCCTGGGCGTCCATTCCTCTTCTTCCCCTTACGCCCCGTCTCATCTTCCCACGTCAGCTGCAGGCGGTGGTGGTTACCCGCTCCTGCAGATGATGCCAAACAATGCTGGCCAGCAACAGCAACAGCAACAGCAGCAGCAGCAGCAGCAACAACAAATGCTGCCACCCTCTTTGTCTCTTGCCCGGGCAGGGTCAGTGAACAGTAGCGCGGAGGAGAGGGAGAGGGCGGCAGGGGGAGCGGGAGCAGGAGCAGGGTTGGCAGAAGCTGGAGGGGAGGGAGGAGGTGATTTGGTGGAACGGGCAGTGTATGGTGGTGGTTCTACTGGGTTCGGCCCGGAGCTAAGAGTTTCTTGTGCTGTGGAGGGCGGCAGCAGGAGTCGTGCAAGTGGCGGCGGGCAGCTGAAATCTGTGCAGGGGGGGTGGGATGGATGGTAGTGGGCTGCCTGGAAAGGACAGCACCAGGCGGCCGAACGGCAGTGGGCTGATCCTGAGCAATCAGGGGTGCATGGTGATGGGGCAATCCCTGGGTGGTGCGGCGTACCAGAAATTTGGTGCTAAAACAAGGTGTGATTCTAAGGGGGATGACTCTAACAGGGATGATTCCAGCAGCAAGAGCTGGTCCCAGGAGGGAGGGAAGGACAGCCCTGCGCTACAAGCACATGATCATGTGGAGGGAGGGAGGGCGGCGCTGATGGTGGAGGGGGTGCGGGAGAATGTGAGGAGGATTTCAGGCACATTGATTTTGGTCATGATCCTCTCAAGGTGTTTGGATACCTGGATGAGGATGGGCATGCGCACATGCATTAGGCGTGTCCAACCACGCATACGGTGCATGCATACATGGTGTTTAATACGGTTTTGTCAGTGCTTCGTTGATGAAGAATCCACTGAGTGGATTCCACTTCAAGTGTTGCAGCTAGGCAGCACCCGCACCGAGTAGGCTTGTTTTTGGTCTAAAGAACACTAGGCCTGCTAACAAATGTATTCTGTTATTGAATAAAAAAATGTTTTGCAAGCTTGCTTTTTCCTGATAAACTTGGATCAAGCCAAGAGCCCACTGTACGGTGATACAGAACAAATGCATCTCACTACCAAACAAATTGTTTTACCGATATTTCACAGAATGGATAAATTCCTGATCTTCCATGCAGTTACATGTACTGTACAAGTACCTCCCCACATTCGCTACTCCCAGGCTCGGGCCATGTCCCCAAGAAAGTTATCAAAGTACCCTTCAGGCTCCGTAACAAACCGGGAAATGATATCGCGTAACGTAACCACACCCAGCAGGCGGCCATGGTCATCAGTGACGTACACACGGTGAATGCCTTTCGCTGCCAGCATCTCTATCACTGACACCAGGCTGTCTGTGCGCCGGCAGGATACAGCTGGGCGCACTCCCCCCACTAAACCATAACTGTCGCCTATGGCACTGTCACTGCAGCTACTGCCCGTTTTGGCAATGGCGCCCCCGGCGGAACTGGCAGGTGGTATGGTTGTGGTAATGGTTGTGCCGTTGACACCCGCTGTGGCATCTGTAGGGGTGGGCGTGGTGCTGGTGGTGGCAGGGATGTCAGCTGCTGTAAGGGAGGAAGCAGGTGGGACGTGCAGCTCTGCTGCTTGCAGGGCGAGGCAGCGGTCAACAAAGTCCCGCACGGTCAAATGGCTGACGGGAAGGAAAAAATACGAAGAAGGGGATGCAAAAGAGGGTGAGGGGTGGGATGGAGAGGAAAGGTTTGTATCCCAAGATGCTGCCTGCAAGAATCATTGCTCCCTTGGCTTGCCTGTATCCACCTCCCTACCTTGACGGAAACATGTGATAATGCAAGAGGGGGGAAGTGTTTACAGAGCACCAATGAAATGGTCACAACAGAACTCGGGCACGAAACGGAAATACCCTCAACAAAACTGGGGAGCAAGACGGGCGTTCTCACCTCCTAGAGTGGAACATGTCTGGGTGCAGCAGCAATAGTCCCACGTCCCTCGCACTGATGTTGGCGTACAGGATGCGATCTGGACCATCCGTTACCGGCACGCCGCCAACCCCTTTCTCCTTCATGAGAAGAAACGCCTCCAGCACCAATGAGCCCGCATCCACTGACACCACCTGGTCAAATCGGGGCCGTATTCGATTAGAGCTTGTGGTTGTTTTTGCGCGAGTTTGTGTTTTATTTTTTCTCGTTTCCTCGAGAGGCACCTCATGTCAACCAGCTTGGCGAAAGGGGGGACAAAGAAAGGTAGAAACAGAAACAGCCTCAGCACTAAGGAGTTTAGAACAACAGGAGCTCAGCTCACCTCCTCCTCCCCCACAAGTGGCAGGCCCAGAGTCATAAGAGGCTTGTCTGCGATTACATCAAACCAGTCAAATCCACGACACCTGCAAGGGAGGGAGGGAGCGAGGGAGGGAGGGAGGAAGGGAAAGAGGGAGGGAGGGAGGGAGGGAAGGAGGGTGAATGATAACCAAAGAAGAAGTGCTGTGCAGTGTACATATACTGCTTTAATTGAGCAAGCAGCAGTCCAACGTGCTCTATTCGGGCCTTCATCTTGTTTGCTCGGTCGATTGAAGCTGACAGCATAGCAATGTGAAACGCGATTGACACCAAGACAAACCATATATGTACATTCATATACATACATATTATAGATATTTTCCCTTTGTTTTTTTCTTTCAAGTATGTTCCTGGCTGTACCTGGCAAGGCCACGAACCACGGCTGACTGTGTGATCAGGTTGTGCAGGCGAGGGGCCGGAGGGGCCAGTCCGAGGGCGACAACTGGCACGGAGCGCATGTGGAAGCGCGAGAGCAGCAGCAGCAGCGTGAGCATGGAGTCGGTGGGCTGCAGCGGGAGGAAGGGCGCCCAGCGGTAGCTGCGTGTGATGTCTGCCACCTGAGCAAGGGGGGTGTCATGGCAGAAGGGGATACAGGAGATGGGATGCAAGGAATGGGAGGAAGCTGGGGTAGTGGGGCTGCAGCTTGAGGAAAGGCGCCCAGTGGTAGCTGCGTGCGTGTGATATCTGGAACCCGAGGGGAGGGGGACCAGGAATTTGAACGTGGAATTGAAAAAAAACCAACCGCTTGCCTGAAGGAAGGGGTTCAAGAAGGAAACAAAAACCCCTTATGACATGCTTGTCTGTAGTGTCCATGACTTATACAATGGTGCTTATTGTGGCTGAGGTGCCTGCCCTGAGGTGCTGAACTGAAGTGACCTCTTTGCACACAAGCCCTTACCGTAGCTGAACGGATTCCTCCCATACAGCAGCACTTACTGTAGCTGACTTGAACGGCTCATTTTCAGTGATCATATGGAAAAAGTCCACACCAAGAGAATCGGCAGCAGCAGCAGCGCCGCCCCCTCTCCCTCCAGCCAACTTCCTCCTCTCTCTCAACCCCCCTGCAACCGCCGCCCCAACCGCTGCTGCTGCCACGCCAGTCACTGCCAGCGGTGCGCCTCCCACCCCCAACGCTGCTGCTCCTAGCGCCCCCACCACTCCCACGCCAGCACCTGTCAACGCTGCGGTGCCTGCTGCCAGCGTGGCAGCTGCCAGGTCAGCCTGCTGCAACACCCACATCATGACACCTGCATAGTCTACCATTCCTAGGTACCGATCAGACCACGCCACGTCGGATCCTAACCCTAATCCTGCCCCTCCTGCTCCACCTGTTCCCCCTCCTCCCTCTACCCCTCCCCCGCCCGCCCCACGTGGCCCTGCCCCTGGAGCTGCGCCTGTGAGCCTGGCGTTGCGGACTGGCGCAGAGAGAATGCGATGGACGGACAGGATGCGCACGGCTTCGAGAATGGACGTGTCAGATGAAATCTCGACGACTGGAAGGGGAGCGGGAGAACATGATTGCGAGGGAAGAGAAAAAAAGCGGGAGAGGAGGGCAGAGAGCAGGAAAGTACTCGCTCAAAGCCAATGTTAGGGTGTGACTCATTACCTATTTCCTACCTAGCCAACTAGCTCCTAAGGCAATCGTCGAGAATGTTCTGGGATTATTATACGAGCCTTGTAATCTCTTTTATCATATTATCGGGCAATACATAGGGAATGCACGGAAGGAATGAGGGAGTAACCCGACACGTTAATGCTTTTCTGGCAGATAATTCTCTTCAGCCTGTAAACCGCGTCTTAAAATAAGAATAATAATAATAATAATAATAACAATTCTTCACTGAAAAGAGTCGGCATACCTTCTCCACCTGGCGGAAGTGGGAAGGACGAGACAGGTATGGCAGAAAAGGCCTCGTTTAACAGCTGCTGAACGCCACGTGGCACTCCCACGCTGCCACCTCGACCAGTCGAAGCATCCCCGGAGGCCCCCCCTCCGCTAAGCTCCTTGAGTGCCGGAGCGCACCCGTCGTTCCCTCCCTGACAGTCTCCGCCATGCACGGCGCATTTCGCGCGGCTGAGCTCTTCGTCCCACATGCTCTGAATGCTCTCTCGCGCGCCAGGCTTGGGTGATTTGGCAGCATTGACGCACGGTACGAGCCGCGCTGCTGTGTCTGGAGAGACAGCCTCCATCGCTGGCCTAAAGTAAGGCGACGATGGTTGTGTACGGTAAAGGATTATTCTATTGCCTGGCTAAACCGTGAACAGAAGAGAAACAACGCCGAAACGAAGTAACAAATTACGTAGAGCCTCACTAATAGCTGGGCTACTAGTCGGAACTTATTACCGTAGAACTGCTTCGATAGCTTGCGCCTTGTGTTCTAGCACTGGAGGACAGCAAAGCAGAGCAAGAAATTGATTATTGTAGACACAAAAATCTGAAGCAGAGACATTGAGAGTTGTGCAGTGCACAAAAATGGTGGCGAATGGAAGTAGATGCCGAGTGAACATTAAACTACAAGACGAGTGGTGCAATGCGGTGAGCGTAGTATCTAGGGCATTGCCAGTCGGTGCACTGCATTGCCGGTGCCCATACTGCTGGCTGGGGAGTCTCGTCGCTCTGCAGCGGACGTGTCGCAGAAGAGTCTCGTCCCTGAATTTCGCAATGCACAAGAGTGCAGCAGTGCCAGCGTGTGACGGGCCGACACGTCATTGCCGGGTTACGCCAGCAAAGCTCCAGCACTGTGGGGCTGTGTCAGCAAAGTAAGAATTACAGAACAGTCAGTAGGAAGAATACAATGAAAATACAGTATATTCAGATCCTGCCATTTCCAAAAGAAAATTCACAGATCGTCCATACCATTCCTACAAAATGAACAGCAGAGCAGGTTCTGCAGTTTACATGGTTGAGCACCACCTAACCCTTTCCCTGGCATCAAGGTCATCCTCATCAGCATGTGGTGCTACAGGAGCAGAACCCTCCAGCTTCCGTTCTAAACTAGCCAACACCAGAGCCGCAACTTCCGGTGACCCTTCATCCAATTCTTCCGTGCCCTCCAGCACAATGGGTGACACCTCCATGGGTTGCTCATGCACCAGGCTACCAGGGTCTGGAGCTGACACCGAGTGCTCATCTTCAGGAAAACATGCCGACAGAGGGGTTGATATAGGTGCAGTAGGGGAGGGCGCAGCTGAGAGTGCAGCTGGGGGTGCAGTTGAGGTTGCGGCCTCTTTCCCCTTACCACCATGCTGCGCCTTCACCTGCCAGTGCGTGGCAGCTTTCACCACCTCCTTCACTGCCACATCAGCAGTCTGAACCCCTACTTCTGTCGCCTTGCTGTAGGCTCGCCTTGACGATGCTGACACCGCTGCTGCTGCCGCTGCTGCTGCAGCTGAAACTGTTGATGACGCTGATGATGTTGGCGATGACAACAATGCGGATGGTGATGCAGCTGCAAGAGACTGGAGAGATTTAGCAGATTTGGCAGGAAAGAGCACCCCATGACCCCCAGGAGCAGCCACCACATGGACAACATCCTCCATGCTCAGCAGCAGTGCCTTCAGCCTGGGATAGCCCAGCACAGTGTGATCCAGGGGGTACGCGTACTTCTGCAGGAAAGCACCCTTGAGGAATGCGAGCTGGTACCCTGTCTTGTGCACCCCTGGCTTTGACAGTACCTCCTGAAGCAGTTGCCTCAAATCACTCCTCATCAGCTCTGCCTTGTGACTCGCTCTGGCCTTTCCCCCATCCGCCGCTCTGCCTTTTGCAGGCGCTGATGCCTTGACCGACCTGCTACTCTCTGTAAGGTTACCCTTGCTGCCTTCTGTCACGTTTTCTGCAGCAACGGTTGCAAGGGGAAGCTCAAGGCGAGGCGGTGGCACTGCCCTGCTGTGAAGTGTTGAGACACCTGCATCTGACACAGACGATGGGTTTTTCAAGATGGATGATAAACCTGCTGCATCAGAGGTGGCAGTAGAGGAGGAGAACAAGGCTGGCTGCATGAAGGGACCTGCTTCAGGGCGAACAGCTCCAGGTGCTTCCTGTTTCCCCTTGATCACCTCATCCCTCAACTCTTCTCGCACCTCCTCCACTTCCTTCACCTCACGAACATCTCTCACTTCCCTCACCTCCCTCCACCTTCCCTCTGTGCGCCATTTGCTACCAGAAGGAGACCCCAGTGCAGCAACTTCCTCCCGCGACCCACCACCCATGCCCCATTCTTTCCCTTCGCCCCAACCCCTACCCTCATCCCAAGGCTGGTTCCCTCCCTTGATCCCAAACTGTTCCTCCTCTCCCAACCCAGATGGCCTCCTCTGATGTGCTTTGAATGCTTGAAGTGGTCGGGGAGACGGTGATGCATCGAGTGAACGAGGTGAGGGCAGGCTTGTGAAGGGGCTAAGGGGTGAAGAGAACGAGGGCCCCAGGGCACTCTCCTTCACGGGTTTCCTCTCTGAAGAGGGTGGCTCTCTGTAGCGAAGGGAAGAGGAGTGTGGGGAGGAGCGTGGGGAGAATGGAGACGAGGATTCGCCGCCCCAGCTGGTGTCGAAACGGCGATAACCTTCGGGTCGGGGCTTGGGGACAGGGGGAGGTGAGGCACGTGGAGTAGTGGGCGTGGACGGGTAAAGAGCACTGCTGGGTGTGCTGCCACTAGATGCAGCAGTAGTAGAACCAGCAGCGGCAGGGGGTAGCTGAGAAGAAAATCTTGGATTTGGAGAAGGAAGTGCAGCAGACACCGGACCAGAGGAGGTGGTTGATCTTGCAGCAGAGGGTGAGGCAGATACAGCCCTGGCAAGAGGCGATGAACACCCTTCTAAGTTTGCGCCTTTCAGCTCATCAGAGGCAAAGACCAGCACGAACCCTCCAGGAAACGACTCCAACCGTGCCAGACCCTTCATGCTCTCCAGCACGTCCCTCAGGCTCACAAATCCCAAAGCCTCAGGGTTGAATCCTCGCGGCATCTTCCGCGCACACTCCCTCTGAAGCTGATCCAACTGAATCCCATGCGGCTGGCTCAGCAGCACCCTGGCAGCGAATTCACGGAACTCCTGGAGCTTCTGCCTGTGGCGCCAAGACATGGGCTGAAGGAGAGCTGACAGGCGCTCAACTACATCCGCTACTGCTGCTGCTGCTGCTGACCTTGGGGTGCTTCGCCAGCTGCCTTTGGGTCGTCTCTTCTTCCCAGGTGGGGACTACGTCCCTCCCCTGCGCACCTTCAGAAGGGGATGCAGCCACCTTGAGAATTTCATCCCAATGCTTCACTGGCACCACTAGCACCTCCTGCTCACCATGCCACTAACGCCATGCCTGTGCTCCCACTGCTGCGCCCTCCCACGCTTCCCTCCCCTGCTCCCATGCTCCTTGCTCTTCCCCATGTTCCGTGCCTTGTCTGAGCCTTGGACTTCCAGCAGGAGGGCTCTCTGGCTTGACTTCAGCAGCTCTCTCCCCAGCAGGTTACGCGACGGGAGGCCTGGCCTGGAAACGATCGAGTCGATTGCAGCCAGACTCAGCCTTAGTTGGTGAGGGCAAGCAGCAATAGGGCCTGGAAGAGCACTTGCAACCCACACTGCTAGCTTCACCTCTCGTCTGTCGACTGCTGGATTCAGGTTGAGACCATGCATTCTTTTCAGCTTCAGCACTGTAGCCAGAGAGCTTTGTTGAAGAGAGTCGTGCAGTTGAGAGTGACCTTGGCGACAAAAGGGCCCCTGGGTGCAAAAGAGGAGCAGGTTCGTGTACAGTCACTTGCACAGGAGACCACTTGGTGGGTGGGGTTTCAACCAGCCTCGGAGAGTGACTGAGAGCTGCACCACGTGGATCAGCTGCCCCATCACCAGCTGCCTTAGCTCCTGCGGACCTTCTATCTTCAATGTCTCTGCTGCATGGTACCTGGAAGAGGTGAAAAAGTAAACGTGGTAACATGAAAATCAGCTTGCGAGCTGTCAATAAGGTTGTCACCATGAAAGGAGCTAAAACCGTGGAGAATGAGACAAGGGAGAGAGGAAAAAAGACAGACAAGGAACTGAAAGGCTTACAAGAGGAAAAAAGGCGGGTTTACCTGCTTTTAGAAGACGTCCATTGCCCAGCGACCTTCAGCAAGAAGGTACTTCTGAAAACGCCAGCCAGATGCCATCCTCGTCACATTACAGGGGAACGAAGGGTCAATCCACGGCCAGCAAGTGTCCCTCCCCTTGGGCAGGTAGACATCGTTACACTCTTCGACATGACCTTGATTTCCCCAGCTGCGAGAGCCCTCTCAAAAAATTTCCACGAACGACCACCCAGGGATGTCCTTGAGACCTTGCTTGGCCATGACATAGCGGAGCCGAGGCTTGCACGTTGAAGTCGCTCGGTAGGAGCTTGTCGTACTGCAGTGACTGCATGACGTATTGGAGCAATTTTCGTGGCGTCACGTCAGTCAAAGGATGTTTTGACAAACTGAGCTTGTCAGGCGACGAGAATCCCGCTGAGACATATTCCCAGTCCACAATTTCCACGTTCAGTAGACCTGCTAGATTTTGAGATTTGGAACTGGAACCGTTGAGAGATTCAACACTGACGGCTGATGGGTAAGCGTGATAACACGAAAACCCCCGGTGCTGCAGGCCCATCAAAACGCGAAAAACGTCAGGCGTAAGAGCTGCTGCGAGAAGAACAACTGCCGGTGGACGCGCATCAAAGAGCCCAGAAGAGGATAGCCTCGTGTATCCTTGCTTCACCTGCCACACCACGCACGAGGCACGAGAAGGGAGGACATAATTTTCAGTGCACAGGAGAAAAAAAAGATCCGAAAGAAAAAAATAAATATTAACCAAGCCGACCTGGAGGATACTGATGGAGCTTCACGTTAGGAACAAGGCTGCTCGCCAGATTCACACGGAAATCGTTGCCGAAAATGTTAATGCTCCAAGCCTCGTAAATCCCTTTCATCTCAAGGAATCTGTTGACGTTCTCGATGACGTCTTCTGGGGAAAGGTCCTTGGGGATCGGACAACCTTCCACATCCCACCATACAGAGACGGATCCAGTAGCCATCTCGCTTGAAGTGGCCTGTAAACAGCCGTATGTCGGAGCGTATGCAGGAGAAAAGCGAACGAGAGCAGTAACGTGAGGAGCGTAGGGTTGTATGCCAGAGAAGTAAACGAGGTGTAGCAGCACTGGTTTATTCCGCGGTGGTTTCCCAGTAAATATGTTAACACGTTGATTGAACCTAAGCGTATGACATGGTTCCCTTCCGCATTGTCTGCATCGAATCGCGTCGCTCCTCTCTCACAAAGCTGAGCATGGATGAGACCCTCCTAGAACGGCATGCTACAAAGCAGATGGCGAGACGACCAACGTGTGTGCATGGCCTTTTAATGAACCTCATTTGTGAATATAGGGGATGCCGAAGGGGCCAGTCAGGATAACGGATGAACATAACTGTGCAGCAGTGTATTACAGCGGGATACAGAGGGTTGCAGAGGAAGGATGAAGGGCGGAGAGGGGCAGAAATGTTAGAGCTCACAGCGAACCTTTCCAAGATTGGTTTGGTTGGGCTGGGAGGTTGGTGTTGTTTAGAGCCACGACAACCTGTAAGCTATGATTGGTCTGGGCATCTTGAGAGGGGCGGGCAGGTAACCAGAGGGGCTGTGTCGGCTCCTTATTCGCTGAGCGATGAAGAGGAAGCTGAAGGTGCTGCCCGTAAAGTCAGATTGTATAGCCACCTTTCGTGATTCGACAGCCCGAATAACTTCACTGCCATCTACATTTTCTGTTACGCAGGGCTTCAATTTCAGGTGCATACAGTGGGCTCCCAACATTCCATCTCCAATCCCCTCCCACCCAGACTCGGAACTAGGCCAAAGCCAGGCAAGTCAGAAGCTCCTACAATTTCATTCTCCCAGCATTTGTTGCCATGAACGATACATAGTTTATTCCAGGCCAGATGTTGAATACACCTCGTCTCACTCCTTGTCAGCTACTCTAAAAAACGTCCAGAAGGATGTCGAGAGCAATCGCTGATGTCGAAGATCCGTTCGGGTGTTCTGGGTTCGCGCGTTCGCCTACAGCCAATGACGGCTTTCCATTCTGGGTTTCAGCTGCATCTAGCTCCAGCGGCAGTTCCACTTCACGTGATTCAGATTCGTCCGAGACTGGTTGTAGTCCTTATGTGAGCATTATGAGAATGACGGAGGCAGCCATTGCTGAGCACGATCAGACTGTTGTGTTACCAGATGGAAAAAGCCTTTCCAGCAGCAACTCGATGAATCGTACCTCTGACACAAGCTGCATATTACTTGATCCCGGTCATGAGGGAGCTGAGAACGTTCAGCATACACCATCAGATTTCGCAAGCAGCTCACGTTCAAGCAGCACATCCTGCTGTGCGACATCCCTTACTCGTCGCTCTCTAAAAGAGCGCATTCTAAAGCCGTTTCCATCCATGAAGCTCATTCGTCAGCCCTCTCGCGCCTCTCGGGAATTTGACCTGTTTGTATCTCGCATTCAATGGCTCTGTCTTGACCAATCAGGAACCTGGAGCTCCATATGTTCGTGGACTGCCTTCGTGATATTTGGCGTCCTCATCCCCGCAATATCATTCACAAGCGTTCGTTGCACTGATGCATGTCCTGACCACGACCATTCTTTCACGCGACTAGTTACCTCCATTGACACTATCCTATGCTTCGCATCATTCACCTTCCTGACAAGGATGCAGCAACAGCCAGGGTTGAGACAAGTGTTACAGTTGGATTTCGTGTTTACAGCAGACGCTGCAAATGTTCTGAGGAAGTATACAATTGAGCTTCACGTAAGTGTCACCACTTTCCTTAAAGTTTTGTCCAACAATATGCTGCTTCAAATTGCATCACTTGTAGAGTTATTTATGTGCAGAAACTCGTGAGATCGTTGATGCTACTTATCCTACCTGCCTTGCTTATCAAGACCCTGAAGAATGTCATTTGGTTTGCCTCTGCTGAAGCAGCATCCCCTTGTGGTTCCACAGCGTAGTCGCAATAAGAAACGCGGGCATGGCCACGACATGGATTGTTGTGCTGGAGTTCTCCTGGGCCTACCAAGCCCTTGTGTATTTATTTGTTTGTGTTCTCTTTCGTTTTATGTGTTCAATGCAAGCCATCAGAATTCAGGTAATTTCTGAGTTATTTGGCGATTCTGTACCATCTTTGCAAAAAATGTTGACTTGAATGTCGCTGCTGTTAATGGGCTCATGCACTGGCAGGCATACATCGAACGTCTTGAAGACGAAGTTGATGTGGCTGCGATGTTGAGCCATCACATGCAGCTGAGAGATCACATGGCAACGATCAGCCACCAGTTTCGTAACTTCCTGTTGAAGGCTCTTCTCGTCGTGTGTGCTTCACAGTTTTCTGCGTTGTTCTCATTCCTGCGGCTCCACGGGTCTACTCCAATTCCGCAAGCTACTGACCTCATGGTTGGAAATCTCTTGTACCGTACAACGAGATGCAATTATATAATTTTCTTGCAACTGATCAGGAGTCTCTTGTTGTGCAGGTCTGCACATATGTACAGCTGGCGGGTGTACTTCTCTGTCTGCATGGTGCTGCACGTATAACCCATCAAGGTCAAAAAATTGTCACAGTCGTCAGCCAGTGGCATGCAGCAGCCACTTGCAGGAATTTTGCTGGATCTCGCAAGGAGATTTCACATGTGTCAGGCAGCAATGAGCCAACAGTGCCATTTGGAGGCTCAGATCTATTTTCATCCATTGCTCCTGTGACAACCCCTCCTCGCGCTGCAGCTCAGCACCTGGCATTACCTCTGCTATCCGGTGTCCACCGTGCAAATGCATGCTGGTAATTTTGCACAGCCATCTTCACCATTAGCACCCAAGGCATTGGAGCATGCAGCCCGGCCGATCTGGATATCCCAGAACACAAGCTGCATTGGCTTCCATGGCAGTGGATGGTGGATGCCTGCCTTCTGGGAACAAGGAACCCCGAGTGCCTGCAGAAAACACTTTCGTGGGTAGTGATGGTGAAGGCCTGGCACTCAAAACGCCATTGGGCGGAGAAAGGGATGGCATGACCAGTTCGCAACATGCTGAAGCAGAAGGGGA